GGGTGAGCAGGTGAGTGGGTGAATGAGTGGGTGAGTGACTGGGTGAGTAGGTGAGTGAGTGGGTGAGTGGGTGAGTGAGTGGGTGAGTGGGTGAGTGGGTGAGTGGGTGGATGAGCAAGTCCAGGGTGTTTGGAAGTCAGGCGTGGAGAGTGCTGGACACGGCCCAGGTAATCAGTCTCCCTGGCACTGTGTTGCCTGTGTTGCAGCCTCTCAGGAGGCCAGGGAGCTGGCCCTCACTGGTCCTGCCAGAAGGAAGGAGGCAGGTAGGCGGGTTCACACAGCTGGGGGAGGCAGGAGCAAGGACACTCACTGCGGACCGTGCTGGCACCYGGTGCTTCTGTGGGTGGGAGTGATCCCGTGGGGGGCATCGGATGTGGCGTGGGAAGGCCCGGTGCTCGTGCCCGCTCTGGCCCCTCCCTGCTGCAGTCCCCGTGTGTGGTACTCACAGCTCAGCCCTCACCTTCTCGTCGCTCACGCCATCGTTGTCATCATCCTCATCGCAGGCATCACCCACTCCGTCCTTGTCGAAGTCCTCCTGTCCAGAGTTGGGCAGCTGGGGGCAGTTGTCCTGTGATAGGAAAGGGGTGATGACCGTGAGCTGTCTGCAGAGCCCTGGCGCCACAGCAGGAGGGTCAGGTGTCCCTCCTCAGCTGGGAGCGGAAGGGCCTCCCGCTGGGCCTGAGTGCGCGCTCTCTGGAGGAATCCCGTCACCAGGGCCAGGAGAGAGACGAGGGGAGCTGTGTGGAGCGGGGCCAGAGAAGTCACCTGACAGGCAGGAGAAGGCAGGGAGGGGGCGCTGCCCCTGGGGTGTCCCCTCCACCACCTCAGCCCAGAGGCAGGGCGCCCAGGCCTGCGTCCAGCCCTACAGCCAGCCTCCAAGGAACCAGGCTCCCTGAGAGTGTGGCCCAGGGCTGGGGACCTGAGCCCTCGAGGTCAGCTCCTCGCAGGAGGCGAGGGGGACGTCTGGTCCCGGTTCCTCCAGGTGTGGTTCACAGCCCAGCTGAGGTGCCGGCCCTGGGGAGCCAGAGCAGGTGGGCACAGTCCACTTGTCATGGCGATGCCTGTGTCGCAGAGGGCCGGGGCCGCTCCTCCAGGGGGACCCTGCGTGCACAGCACTTGGGGCCCAGGGCAGAGCCAGAGCTCTGGCACTGGGGGATAAGGTGACACGAGGCTGTGGACCCCAGGGGAGACCYACGCCCCACGGAGTAGTTATGGGAGCAGAAGGTGGTCTCTTAAGTCTGACTGCTAGTCCTTTGTCCTCAGGAGGGTCATGTAGAGGACAGGCAGACAGGCAGGCGGGAAGGAAGACAGACAGGAGAGGTATGTGCCTTCTGGAAGGGCCTTCTCCAGCAGGGCGGCTGGTGAGGACGGGGCAGGGCTGGGCAGGGGCACAGCTGGGAGTCGCCTTTGTGGCTGGAAGCATTGGCAGTTCTGYTCCAGGGACCTCTGCCATCCTGGTGGCACCACGTCTGTGGGGTGATGGGGCGGGGCCCTGGGGAAGCACCTGTTTGCTGCCCACGCGTCCACCCACTCCCTGGGCTCTGGGGCACGTGTCCCTCWCGGGGAAGGCAGAAGACAGACCAAGTTAGGGGAGGGATTGTCCTGGGCTACCAGGTGGCCCTGAGCACAGTCCCCCACATCCCTGARGGAGGGGCTGGGGTGGGCCGGGAAGCACAGGGGAGAGTACTGTGAGGACAGGCCACGTCCAGAGTGACCGGGCCACGCCCAGCAGCACTGGAGCCCCAAGCTGAAGTGGCAGGGAGGGTCCTCCCTGGGCCTCTGCAGAGCTGCCTGCTCCCCACTGGGCTCGAGAACTGCGAGAGGACACCCCTGTTGTTTCCCAGTGCCCCGGGCGCCCTGGGACTGTGTGGGCCCCAAGGGCCTGGCTTCTCCCCAGGCCCCGACTCGCTCCTGACCCTGCAGCACAGCTGGGTCTTTGTGGAGAACAATGTCTGCCGTGAGACTGTGGGGGCCACCTCATCTGGGGACATTCCTGCCCTGCACGCCCCACCCAGGGCCAGGTGTGGCCTCGCCGTCTCCTCACCTCGGCTCCCCAGGTCAGCTGTGGGGTGTCTGTGCACCTGTGCTGGGAGCACAGGGCCCCAGGCCCAGCAGCCAGCCTGGAAGGCAGCCCCTGGCAATGGTCCCTGGGTGCCAGGGACCCACCAAGAGGGCTCAGCCGGGCACAGCGCTCCTTCCACCAGGCCGATGGCAAGGCCAGCGGGACCCAGGTCCCCAGCCCCACAGGAGGCGCAGGCTGGAGCTGGCGCTAGGCAGCCTGGGCGCTTCCTCTCATGGCCCCACCCCCACCTCCACACAGAGCCGCACCCGGGAGGCGCCGGAGCAGGGAGCCCACTGCGCGCAGGCCTCACCTTGACACAGTGGTAGGTGGCGTTGGTGGCACAGAGCAGGCTGCTGTTGGGCCAGCCGTCCAGGTCCGAGTCCTCCCCGCAGATGAGCCCGTCGCCCGCGTAGCCTGTCTGGCACTCGCACTTGAACATGGGGTCACTGAAGTGGCCCAGGTAGATGCAGTCTGCGTGCCTGTGGCAGTTGTGCGTCTTGTCCTTGCAGGGGTTCTCCGGCTCGCACACCTGGGGGACGGAGGGTCTTGGGCTACCCACACGCCTTCAAGGGAAGGCCTTCATGGGCCGGGCAGCCCAGGGACGGGGCCAGAGTGCGTCCAGAGTGCTGGTCTTCCTGCCGGGCAGCGGGGCCCTCAGCAGCAGCAGCAGCACTTCTAGGCCCACCCCCGGCTCCCAGGTGCTGTCATGGGCTGAGGTCTCAAGTGTCCCCACACAGCTTGTGTGGGGACAGTCCCCAGCAGTGGCCCTGGAGTCTCTCCTKCGTGGCAAGGCCTAGAGCTGCGGGTCAGTCTCGGGCCTGCCTGCATCCCAGATCCTGGGTCCCCTGRTGTCCTGTCTCCTGGACTGTGCCTGCTCTTCCCTCTAAGTGCTCTGCTACCACAACACCTCAGTGACACAGGGACACRGCACCCTGTGCCCAGGGACCCTTCACATCTGCACTCCCCTGTGCGAGAGGGGCCCTGCGACCCAGCTTCTACAACAGCAGGCGCCTCCTGGGCCCAGGGGATAACGGGGTGGGAAGGGCACCCGGCTCACCTGCTTCTCTGTCCTGGCGGCCTCCAGGCCGACCCCGAAAGGCTGGTTCCCCTTGTAGCGCGGGGGACAGGGCAGGCAGTGGAAGCCCGGCTCGCTGTTGACGCAGCGGGAGACTTTGTTGGTGGAGAAACAGATGTCCGCAACCACAGCGCACTGCGGGGACAAGCTCATGTGAGCCGCTGCTCCCCCTCTGCACCACGGGCTCCTGCTGCCCACAGAGGGCACCCACCTCATCCAGGTCCTCACAGTGGGTGCCATTGCCCAGGAAGCCCACTGGACAGGAGCCGCAGGACCAGGAGCCRTCAGGGAAGCTGTTGCACTGGGCTCCAGGAAAGCAGGGATTGGACAAGCACCCGTCTGTGGAGGGGGCAGAGAGGACTGAGGCCACGCCAGAGGGCCAGGAGCTCCTTGACCCTGCAGTAGCACTCTGCCCAACCGCACCG